TTTCATTCCTGGGCCCATTCTATCAGGTTTAAGGCTGAGCAATCTAGGGTTTTTGGTTTCTTTCATGTCTTTCAAATCTCATTCCTGGGCCCATTCTATCAGGTTTAAGGCTGAGCTAGTCTTAGGGTTTTTGGTTTCTTTCATGTCTTTCAAATCTCATTCCTGGGCCCATTCTATCAGGTTTAAGGCTGAGCTAGTCTTAGGGTTTTTGGTTTCTTTCATGTCTTTCAAATCTCATTCCTGGGCCCATTGTATCAGACGGGTAAATGAAGGATTCTGCTTTCGAATGATCAAAATGAACAATCAAAACGTTTTGGGTTCGTAGTAGATTAGTCACAACGCTCCCTTACGGAGGTATGCGTTCTAACGACTGCACCCTATAATTGGAAATGTTCTGTGTGTTTCTTTTTACCTTTAGGGCACTTATAATTCATATAAGGTCAGATAACAATTGAAAGGGACAAAGCAAGTAACAGCATTTAAGTTAATATGATATACTGTGTTCTGTAATGCCCTTACATGGGCATTCCTGAAGCAACCGTTCAAGGAAGACAAGTTCACGCCATAGCTGAGGCATTAAATCACATAGCGCACGTTGGGCCTGTGTTTGAGTAACATAGAAAGCACACAAGTAACATGATATTCTGTTGACAACATCATAAGATCTGCTCGTATGTTTTCAGATCTACACCTCATCATTATTAAATAAGTTTGAAAAGCAAAACTTTTTCTTATCGGATTAATAGGAAGTAGCCATTACTTTGAAGATGGATAATGTATTTGGGAACCCTAAAGGTAAAGGATTATATTCAGCCCTCAAAAAATAAGAAAATGTGTCCATATTTCTGTCATTATCAATGAATGTGGATCATTTTTCAGTAGACAATGAGAAATAATATTATGCCCATGTCTACCCAATTTCATCAAAATCAAATAATTTTTGACTGAGTTATAGAGCAAAAACGGTGTGAAAAATCGGTCCCCATGTTAACATACAAGGATGTTTTTGGGATTTTTGCGACCTTGCTCTGACCATGACCCTCCAAAAACTAATCACTTCTTAGTTGGGTCATAGTTCAAATGTACAAGAAATTTCGTACAAATCCATTTAGCTGTTTTCGAGAAATCTTGCTGACAAACAAACACACAGGGGTGAAAACATAACCTCCGTCACCTTCGGTGGCAGAAGTTATAAATAGTAAAAACAAACTTCGTAGACTATTAATACACACACACACACACACAATATATATTCTATATACATATATTTATGAGACTGCGCAGTAGACTAGAGTACAGGGAAAGCATGCACAGTGTGATAACCACGACAAAACTCCTTCTTAACATTCTGATAAAGGACCGAAACAACAGACAATTATATTGATTTTTCTATTTTCTGCATGTTTTGTCACACTTAATTTTTGAATATTTGAGCAGTTATGATAGCAAACGAAGGGGAAATATACCATTTGCTTTAAATATATATATATATATATTTGAATGGTTATTTTAAAAAAAAGGGCGATCTTAATCCAATTTACAGGTTCGTGACAGCTATAAAATAATATCTCTGATATCACTCTGTCCCGTGATAACTGGGAAGACCAAATCCGGAGGCGTTTGGGGAATGGTGTACAGTGACCCCCCCCCCCCTCAGCTCATAAGTATTGTCAATCAAGTCTTTGTATAGGAGGCACCTCAGTGAAACACATAAATTTTACAAAAAATCCGAGTTGGCAACAATGTACAGATGAGAAACCAGTTAGGTTTTTAATATGGCCTAAATCGGTAAATATCCTATTTAAAGTAGATAAGACATGAAATGTGACTTCGTCTCTTTCAGCAACAGCTGTTTTCCAGCAAGTAAACAAACGCACGTGGCCAGCTGTCAGCCTGAAGACCATGGCCAACACCAGGTGGTATTTAAACGGGGAATAAGGAAGATATATCGGGTCATGTATCTTTGGAACAACACAAATTGTAAAGAATAAACAAAGCAATATATCTGGTATTTAAGAAGTGTTTTTGATGTACTACATATCCACCTGTTACAAGGCTTCTTTACTTGACTTCTTCAAATTTAAGTCTATACAATCACAATATTGCTGTGAAGCTGTGTGTCTTTGTTTTAGTGCCAATCTTTACGCTATTGATCGTATTAATTAACATTATAATTTACCTGTTCGTTGTACATGTTCCCTATGTAAATAGTTATCAACTTTATTAGATTTTTAGGGTTAAATATTATTCAATATTACAAAAGCTAGCTTCTTTAAATTTTGTTTCCCAGTTGTTGTTTTTTTTTGTTATCGATAATAATAGAAAAGATGAGAACGAGATAGAAAATCACTGAACGAACCCGTTATTATTAATCTTGAACGTCTTGAATTATGCAAACACTTGATTGGTGAATTACTACCGATATTTGTTACATTTATTACTGTGTGAGTGAGAGAATTTTTAAATTCAAATGTTACCTCACAAGATTTTTTGCGATTGTATTCCAAAGTAGTCAGAATGAGCTCACTGACGTCACCAAAGTACAACACTGCTCGTTATGTAATGTGTAATGTAATGAGTGATCTTAACTGTTGCTAGTTATGAGAGTATTTATCACTTTATCTGCTACCTAACCTAGTCCTCGACAGCCTCTACTACTCTTTATCTGCTACCTAACCTAGTCCTCGACAGCCTCTACTACTCTTTATCTGCTACCTAACCTAGTCCTCGACAGCCTCTACTACTCTTTATCTGCTACCTAACCTAGTCCTCGACAGCCTCTACTACTCTTTATCTGCTACCTAACCTAGTCCTCGACTACTCATTATCTGCTACCTAACCTCCTCATTGACAGCCTCTACATTAAACTTCCTAGGGGGGGACTCTTCCCCAAACTGGGATACTACACATTTACTCTGCACAGATCAACAAGTTTCAAACCTTATTTCCACTGTTAATAATATTATAATCAATAATTATTGTGAGAATTAAATACAAAAGTGTGCCGAAATGACGAAAAAAAAAAGAAGAATTAAATGGGAGTTTCTAGTCTTTAGAACATATTTTCTGTTTAACTTCGTCTGTATAATGCACACGAAAGTTACTTTGTTTTGTATGCTAGTTTTTCATTGAAATCTGCATATTTTATGCAAGAAAAATGACAATTTAAGTTGATTTTAAAATGCTTTCTGACGATCATTTTATTGGATTAACAAGCTATTAATTTCACTTGTATATTGTATGAACCTTGTTACAAACGAAACAGACTCGTTCAAACATATTTCGTACATTGAGTATTTATTTTTATGGTTAACTTTAAAACAGCTTTGGGTAAAATGGTGAGACTTCTAAGCACCGTAGATGCAAATGTATAAAATTAACAAGTGATGTTTGTTGACTGTTTTACATGTCTTAAACCAGAGTTTACCCTGTCCAAGATGGCGTGTTATTTAGTGTTTATTCTTCCCGCCAGTATTGAAAATTTGGCCAGTGTTCCATTGTCAATATATATGGTGTTTGCATTGTATCCGAAAAAACGATCATTTTAAATGTCTTTTGAATGCAAAATGTGTACTTTATGCAATAAGTTCTTGTTTAAGAAATTGTCAAGATATTTAATTGGTAAGGTGAACGTCAGAGCCAAAGGTCAATACAGTTGTAAATGTTCAGTGACAGTGATTAAGGGTCATAGAGGTAAATGTAAAGTGGTCAAGAATAAAGCCAATAGTATGTCCATCGTCGGTTGTTAAGATAAAGTGTGAAATTATGGGTTCATTTTATTTATATTATGTATATTCATTTTTCTACGAATACTTCTAATTACCTCTCAAAGTAACTTCAATGAGTATTTAAAGGACCCAATATCAAAAAGACTGCAGGAATAAAACAGTATTACGGAATTATTGTACACAGCCAAGACATCCTCAGTAAATCGAATATTTTATGAAGTCCAGGCAAAATCAATACATAGTCGTTTTAGTTAAACTTCGTTTGTTTAAACGCAATGCTACAAAATGGGCTACCTACGCTGTACCAACCACAAGGATCGAAGCTCGAATTTTATTGTAATAAGCCCTCAAGCATGGACTGTTTGGTCGGTAAATCCAATGAAATGTTAACCAAATAACCGATAGTTTAATTTGTTACTTTTAAAGTTTGAACGAAATGTATTCTTTTATTTTCATTTCTATTTACAAGAAACCGAACAATTCTAGCCTCCATATTTACCCACACAGTGGGACAAAAGCTTTCCCAAGAAACGCTGTACTCCACTAAATTGGGATATGTTAAATTATAATTAAATTTAAACAGATAAAAAACTAAGTAGAAGCCAATAACAGCTATACAAAAAAAAAGTATCCTTCCGCCATAAAACCAGACTAATTACTTTATCACAGCGTCTTTAACATTTATATTATTAATTATCCCTCTTTCCGCGAGAGGGCGTAATTGTCTATTATGAACCGGAAATTATTACATTTAATTGCTGTTGTAGTTTTTGACCTGGAGTTTGTCTCGGGATTCGATGAGTGTCCAAAGTTTTCTGATGAATAAACGCCCAGCTTAAGAGCGATAGGCTTGTGATTATATTTAAATTAAGAGGCGTATTTATATTTAAACTTTCTTCCACCCCTTTATGGGAAGTAAAACTTCTGAAAGCAGGAATGTGAAATTCTGTAAATTCAGTCTGCAAGACGTTAAAGTCACACTTCGGTTTACACAAACCTGATATGTTGGTTAACGTGTCGAACTGCGAATCCGATAGTCCATGGTTCGCGTCCCTTTGCCGTAAGTCACGCTCCTAACTTTGGGACAGTGAGTGCGTTATAAAAGTGACGATCAAATCCCACTATTCAAATTAGAGTAGTCCAAGAGTTGGGGGTGAGTACCGATGTCTAGCTGCTTTCCCTCTAGTCTAATTTATCACTTCAAAAATTAGGGACGTCAATGCGCAGATAGCCACTTATGTAGTTCTGCGTGAATATCTAATCCAAACAAACAAGCATTAACACATTACAGTAAAGGATGATGTGGAAAAAAAACGGCTCAGAATGACGAATGAAATACTGAAAACGTTTTTTTTTCTTCTTCAAGCACATATTTCACGAAATGAACCTTGGTGTGTAATAGCAATAAATTAACTTTCTGTGTTAGTGTTTTATACGTACAAGATTACAGACTTTTTTTTGTGTTTTGAGCTTTAACGTTTACTGCAAGTCGAATTGCTCTTTAAGTATGAAAGCAAGTGAAATGCAGATGTTATAACATATATTTAATTAATGTTTTAGTACGCACCTTCCGTTTTGACAAACAACTTCTGTGCACTCACTGGTAAGACTCTACATTTCCTACATATATGCAGAGTTATTGTACTTAAGTCTGTAATAAAAAAAATATAGTTATAATATACAGCTACTGTGTCCGGTTTTGTTGACCAGAGCCATACGATAATCTACACCACACACATCTAGGCTACAGAGGTCTAAGGAAAAACTAAAAAACAGAAAATACAATGTAGGAATGATAAAATGTATCCTAGTGGGAAATATATCCGCTTATGCAGGACCTATACATCAATAATGATATAATATATCACGTGAAGTTCCTATTTATCTTCCCCACATCTTTAACCCTAGTGAGAAATATATCCGCTTATGCAGGACCTATACATCAATAATGATATAATATATCACGTGAAGACCCTACTTATCTTCCCACATCTTTAACCCTAGTGAGAAATATATCCGCTTATGCAGGACCTATACATCAATAATGATATAATATATTACGTGAAGACTCTATTTATCTTCCCACATCTTTAACCCTGGTGGGAAATATATCCGCTTATGCAGGACCTATACATCAATAATGATATAATATATTACGTGAAGTTCCTATTTATCTTCCCACATCTTTAACTAACACACTCAGTCTACAGCTAGTTGTGTAAAGTCAGTTGCTCCTAATAACGAAAAATACAAGAAAATAAAAATAAATTATAATCAAAGGTATACCACTGATTTTTCATGTATAGGAAACAAAGATGCATTAACTGGTATAACCAGCATTTTCTAAGGCTTCCGATTATCCTAAAAGGTTACCCCCAAAAAAAATCAGAGGTTTTTATCCTATCGATCCTCCTGATAGCCTTCAATAAGATTACCTCTTATCCTTGTTTAGGATAATCTTAATCCTAGTAGCCTCCATCTGAACTGGAGAGATGATTAAAACATGTTTCTTAAATTTCCAGCTCCAAAATTATTAGCCTACTGCTAGTCATTAGTTTTTATTGAATTCTCCAGATCGAGCTTGCGCAGTTTCTTTCTTAAATAAACAATTTTCCCGTTTAATGTTGACTTTTTCAAACCATTTTCTTAACCATTAGAAAAAAACAGTTCTCAGCTAGAAGCTTTCAACATAATAATTTATGTCAAAAAGAAGCTACTCCTTAGATACACATTTTAAAATCTTTTCATGTCTCGTTCTCACGTTCCTAACACTAAACAGTATTGTGCCATGATACTTGGTATTGAGCAATAGGCCTCGTCGGCATTGGATATGGCATATTATAACATATTTCTCTTTGCTTTCACTAAGAAGTTCTTAGAATGTATATAATGTTTCGATGTTAAGATCATTTGTTTATTGTTGTTGTTTTTATTTGGAGATCTTCTCAAAATAAAGTTTTAAAACTGTAACATAAATTTTATCGCTTTTCAATCGATGTAAGTGTAAAAAATATGTGTTATTTAACAGAATGTATCAATTAGGTTATAAATATTTGTAATATTTGACAAAACGAACAAAGAAACAATTTTCCGTCTTTTTTTTTTCAAGCTAACAAACGTTTATTTGTCTTGTTATCGTTAATTGGTTATCGTCCTTTTTTTCAAGCTAACAAACGTTTATTTGTCTTGTTATCGTTAATTGGTTATCGTCTTTTTTTTTTCAAGCTGAAGACGTTTTTTTTCAAGACGTTTATTTGTCTTGTTATCATTAATTGGTTAGCGTGTTTTTTTTTTCAAGCTCACAAACGTTTAGTTGTCTTATTAACATTAACTGGCTAATGTTACACTAGCCGTTCTTTCTATGAAGCCCGACAGGAGTAGAGTCTCTTGATTTACAGTGTGAAAATTGGAACTTTTTTCACCATAATGAATAACAATGTAATAGCTTTGTAACAGTTTAGATTTTTATAATGTGGTCTTAAGAGTCGCGTTTTAAAACTATAGACAAACGAAATGTGTTAAAAGTTTATATATATATTATATTTATATATAACAATAAATAAAAAACGCGCCCAAGTTGTCTGAAAAAGTATTCAAAAAGAAAAACGTCGCTTCTTTCACGGCTGGGTAAATCTTGAAATCTCAATTTCTGTGGCTGCCCGGTAACAAATTAGGTTTAAAAAAAAAAGTAGTAGAGAGGGAGGGTACTCTGTGTCAGGCGATTCTCTAAGCAATATTCAAAAGATCCATGAATAATATCAAACCGGAGAAACTCACGTAGCCTAGAATTATAGAGGGCGTATGGAAATTTAATACTTGTACTGTTTCTGATGGTAAATTAAGCCTAAAAACTGGAACGATTCCAGTTTTACTGGGAAGTCTGGTAACCCGAAATGGAAGACGTACTTTAATGTCAACTTTGGTTTCTTTAGGGGGGGAGGGGACTTAAATGCCAAGATAGTCTACATAAAACACATAAAAATATTCAACATTTTAAAAATAATTTTGTAGAATGTTTATTCCTGACATGTGTAGAAGCTATTAACAAATACAACTTACAAGAACCATTCAAATATCCAAGAGATAAATACTATAGTTTGTTAAGATGTCACCTAACTTTCTGATTCCCTTCCTTCCGAATGGTATTTTTTTTTTTTTTTTGTGCGAGATTTTGTAAATCTTCAAACTTGAGAAAAAAGTTTCACAAAAATTAAATCTTTATGGAACTGTACTAACATTTCATATAATAAAGAAAATACAAGGCATTATTTCATTTAGTCAATCAAATTGCTCGAGATAAGCTGGTGAAATTTGTAACGACTTACCTTAATTCTTGAAAAGGTTAATCGTCGGTGGAAACATCGAAGTTCGCTGGAGCGTTAAAACAAATTTCTGATAATATAGTTATCGTCCTTATTCCTCAGCACTTCCTCAATATCCAAATTTCAACAATCGAACGAATATCACAAACCAACAATACTTACTCCGCGAAATAGTGCGCGTGTCCCTTCGCTTTAGAATAAAATCACTAGATGGTACCGCCGTTATTTTAAGAGTAAGTTTGAAAGATGAGTGTAAAAGTGAGCACGAGTCCACGTGTACTTAAGGATTTACCTCGAACATTATTCTTCAAGCTCCGCTTCGTACACAAGAAAGTTCTAGAAACGACTTTCAAAGCTGTGAAATGATTAACCTGAGTGTGAGGGTGGGCACGTTTGTATATTTGATGGGGCTAGAACTGAGACAGGAAATTCGTTCTTCTGTAACTTCTCCTAAAAATTTTGGAAAGAGTTACATATGGCACCTCCACCCAAAAATTGTAGAATTGCCTGGATAAAAAAGATTCTGAAAAGGGTTTATGTTAGGGGGCGTATTAGAAAAATTGGGGCATGGCTTTTTGGCGGTTTACCAAAAAAAAAAAAATGAAAAAAAATGTTCCAAACTACTTTGGCACCCCCGT